ATATAATCCCTATTAGCAGATGCTTAAGACTTCTCAAAGCAGTTAACTGTTGTTAGCCTCTGAAGTGTTAACTACGGGGAGAGATGGATGACTTTATTTCTGATATTTATACTGTGCACATAACATCTGCGAGGCAAAACCAGTGCATGACAGTGACTTTAGCAGTGATCCATCTGCACCGCACACAGGCACAGCCAACCTGCAACTCTACACCCCAGCATCAAAAACTTAAATTATTAGCAACAGTTCTTTTATTAACCCCATGACTTAATAGGATTATGCGCAAATCTGGTTTGAAAGGTAAGATGAGGGTGAGAAAAGCAGCTGGAAGCTCCAAACAAAGATTCAGCGTGTGCCAGAGGCGTCTCTTTCCTAACATTAACCTCTCATGTCTACGTATTTCTAAAGGGTCAAGACGTATACAGATGAGAGGATCTTTTTGCACCTGTGCTTTGATGTGAAGTCAGTTAATCCTTTTTCATGTGTGGAGACAATGCCCTGGCTCCGTGCCCCATGCCTTCCACATAGAGAGTATGTTGATGAATTGAAGCCCCATCAAACTACAGCTTAGCCGAGTTGAGCAAGGTACATTAAATCAATACTAATAATCCCTGCATGTGTTTGTATGAGTGTCTCGGTGACAACATCAGCATTACACTCTCAACTCGTGCCACTCACCGAGTCTATCGGACAAACAGACAACTTCATTGTCCTCATCTAACCTGGCAGGTTGTTACTGTGCTCTCTGACCGCTTGGTGCCAGGCTTATTTATATGCTACCAGTGAGAGAGATCTTGGGGAGAGCAAATTGCCTTTCCACAGAGACAGCCATCACTGCTTTGAAGTGTGAGCATCTGTGGGTGTATGTGTGTGTGCGCTTGTTCTCACCCTGTCTCTCACAATAAGTTAAGTCTCATACCGGAGTAGAATCAAAACACTATGAATGGGTTTTATTTATTGATGACATGTTTACACTGTTTGCTGTCACGCAGAGAGAGCCGGAGATTAATCTAGTTCATGTTCTTACAGGTCAACAAGCAGGTGGACTTCTCTCTCTTTGGTTCACGCCAGCTCTCAGTGGAGTTGTGATGTGCAGGGCTCGGAGGGCTGCCCTGCCCCTGCTGTACCAGCAGCGTAACACGAGGTCCCTGTAGTGCCTGACTCCCTGACTCGTGTCCCTTGCTGCAGCAGCAGAGAATGAAGCAGCCATACATCATAGGCCAACTGTGTCCTCTGAGGCGGTGACAGACAAAGCCAACAGAATCAATAAAGCCTTAGCTCAAACCCCACTTCTGTGCACTCAGACTTCACCTTGGCCTCTTTACCTCCTTTTCTTCTCACATTCCATCTCTTTTCTTTCTTCTCTTCTTGCGTTTCTTTTCCGGTTTTCCCCTCATCTTCTGTCATTTTCAGGTGACATCATTTATCTGTGCAGGACAACACCTTCTGTCAATATTATCTCTGTATGCCATTCTGCTCAGCCCCAGGTGAACATGCTAATACACAGTGGAGTTGTCAGCCTTGACAGGAGATGGGGAAAAAAAAGAGAAAAACACTTCAGAAAGGAAGAAAAGACCAAGGCCTGTGGATTACCGAAGGCCATTCAGCTTGTTAGTGCAGAGGCACCTACATCAGACAAATGCATACTTAATTTTTTCTGAGGGCCTGAGTGATTCAAGTTCTGGGGGGTGTGAATGTTCCCCAAAAAGACAGTTTAAATGATGGAGGGCCTTGTGTAGTACCCACAAACCATTACAGACAGCAGTGGCAACGCTATTAGAGAGACAGAAGGAGCACTGGGGAGTAGTTCACAGTAATTAAACTGGAGCGTCAATGTTACTGCTACCTGTTTACAACCCAAAAGAGTAGCAGTTTCCTGTGGCGAGGAGGTTTGGCTTGCATTTATTACAGCCGATTACCATTATGACGTCCTTTCACAAAGGACTCGAATTTTATTTTAGGAAACGGTACTTTAATCTCTCCTGGAAATATTTCCCCATGAAAATGATTCTTCAGAGATAACAGTTATGGGGAAGTTGTAAAGTATAGATGAGGGGACGGAATCTAAAATCTTATACGGTTATCCTGGCGTAATTTTGTTAATTTATTTTATCACTTATTCTGTCCTTCAAATTAAACAGACACGACTGAGTGTCAGAATACAAAATGGCGCTTTTAGTGCCAGCACTCAAGTACGTTTTACTTTTCTTTTTATCTAATTTGATATGAGAGTAGAAATCTCAAACTAATTTACTTTGCTTTCATTTACTTTAATTTTAGATGAATGTTTGTCAGAGCCTTTGTCGGACACAATTTTAGCAACAGATTCGTTAATCTTCACAGCTGCTTACAGCGATGCCTGTAAATCAGACAGCTACTGTACATGTTTGTTCCCTGTGTGATACTGTCGTGACTTTACAATGTCTATTTTATGCCACTGTAATATGGATTCACGTTGGATACACATTCAGCTGCCTACATTCACCGGTCTGCCAAAAAGGCCTATGTGCAAACACTGAGCAAGCTTACATAAGAAATTGGATTTTGAGTTCGACAGTGTGTGTGTGTGTGTGTGTGTGGCTTTCTGTGTGCTTGTTAAAGCATTGGTTTCGCCAAAATCCTCGGGGGTTTAAATGCATGTGCATATATGACTCCATGTATTTAAGGTTACACATGCACACATGAAAAGGGCTTAATGTGCATAATTGTGAGAGCGATTACAAGTGTGACATATGTGTGCACGTAATGACTGAGACTTTGCGTGTGTCTCTGTGCGTCTTAGCTGTGTCCTGCCTCCAGCAACGGGACACTGAACTGGGGTCAGTTTCTTGTGCCAGCTGGGTCAACAACATTATGCTGGGTCTTTTTTATTCAACAACGTATTGATCTGCTTCCATGTGTTATTTTTGTGTGTGTGTGTGTGTGTGTGTGTGTGTGTGTCTGTGGGGGTGAGTGAAGATAAGCAGGAAGATGGGGCCAGGCCAAGTAAAGGAGGCACGTTCTGGAAGAGCAAATTTGACATAAAAATCCAATCAATTGCTGCAGCCCATTCCCAGCCTGACAGCATGAGCTGCTCCTCCAAGTAGGGAGAACGCACGACACAAAACTCACATGAGTAATCACGCCGGTTCATTCACTTTGGCAGAAAACACAAACATCTCTTAATTGTTTTCCTGTAAGGCATTCTTTGGAGATTTAAAAGCAGATTTGAATGGCAGCGAGCTCCAGTGACACAAAGAACAACACACTCATGCATACTTCATACAAACACATGCTCAAGTGCAAAGAGGGAGCCAAGATATGCGAATAATCAACAACTATTTTCAACAACTGTTTTTGCACCTTTAAATGAAGGTGCAAAAGCAGTCTCTACTTTTTCAAGACAAGAGATATTAGTTTTGTCATTATCGCGCACACACAGGAATAACCTGGGGATGTTTGGCTACAGCATCGGGAAATAAAAAAATAAAAAAATATGGGAAAATGATACTGTGAAGTTGCGAAATGAAAAAATTCAAAGACACCTTGGCCACAACTAAAAGTAGGGGTTTGCATCAAGCACCCAAACACACACACAGTTAAATACAGGCGTAGACATCCTTGGCACCCACTGAGTGTAAAGGCGATATCTCTGACTGTGTTCCTGGCTGCTGATTACATATCATTATCCAGGCTAAAGGGGGGGGGATATCATTTCAAGACAAATTAGCACACCAGGAACACTGAAGGAAGTCTTAATATCTTCACCTAGCATGCCCAGACGGCAAAGAGGAATATCGTACTTTTTTGTTCACAGCCGGCAGAGCAGCTTCAAACTTTTATTTCATTATATCAATTCCGAGGGGAACGGGAAGTTTTGATGTGTCTAATTGGGATGCAGCAGTTGTTGGGACTTTTAGGGCAAAAGATTAATAACGAGAGGCAAGGCTAGACTGCAAACGAGGAAAGCGCGAAGAAGGATGAAAATAACTAGAACGAATAAAGACGGGCACGAGGGAACATGACGGGCACCGACAGAAACAAACAGGAGCCGAGGTGGGGAGGTGGGAGGACGTCCTTGTGAGTCAAATGGGTATTTTGCCAAGACTTTCACTGTGGGGTTCTAACTTGCACACTACCATCTTGGTGCTGTATTCAACTCATCTGTTACATAAATAAACCAGAACACAGCAGAGCCTCCTTTGTGTGTGTGAGAGCCAACAAAGTCAGTTGGAGCAGTGAGGCAGGTTAAATCTACAGCAGCAGAGCACCATGGGTAACAGCATGAATGAGTCATCGGCCCAGCAACCACTTACTGACTTATTTGCTGGTGCACCCACACACACGCACACATACAGGTTCACATGATTGTAGTGTCACACGGATGGACTCACAAGAACAGGACTGCAACTGCTTTTAATTATCAGTTTTGGGGTTTTTTTTTACACTGCACCCCTTCAAACACAATCTCACCAAGTCCTGTAAACAGAAGCAGTGTGTGGCTCAGGGATGATGTGTTGTGTATAGACTTACTGCTGGTAAAAAAAAATTTAAAAAAAGAAAACAAGAGTGACAACCAAGTAAGAGGAGACAAGTTGAGAGAGATGCATGCAGGAGAATAAGGGATTAAAGGGTGAAAATGGTACAGAAATAGTGCACAACTAATGGAGAATGCACATAAGAGGTGGACTCAGCACACAGCTATGGGAGGGAGGATGGGACAGAGTGGTGGATGTTCAGAGTGAAGGAGGGAGTGGGAGGGAGTTCAGGAGGGAGGCAACAGGGATACAGTGTAAAGAGAGGGAGGAGAGAGAGAGAGAAAGAGCGTGTTTATGGAGGAATGTGACAGCGTTCAGTGTATGGGAGATGGGACGGACTGATTGGAGCGTGCCAGGTGTTGAAGAGGTGTAAAGAGGGGACCCAAAGAGAACATCAGCAACAAAAGCAGACACCTTTTTTTATTTCCACACCAGCAACACTGATAGCTAGTATCCATCTAAAGGGTGGTTTGTCCACAGTTTGGGAGTAGAAGCGACAGTGATTGTGACCGTGGGGGCAAGTGGACTATAATGGAGGTAAGTCACCCCGAGAGAGGATTGAGAGAAGTATGATGGCTGTTTGACTGGATGTGAAATGGGGCAGGTGGGGGGGGGATAAAAATGATGGTAGAGACTCAAGTTAGGGCTCACAGCCTGTGCAACTTCAAACAGGACTGAGTCTGTTTGATGAACAAGGATTTGAGTGCGAGCGATTTGTTAAGTGGATTAAGTTTTAAGCAATGCACAAAATGTAAACTAGGTTCATTTTAGAATCATACTGAATTATGGCTGTTGTTTACATAATCAAACATTCTGACTGAACCAAAGTTTCTAAGCGTGGATGCAGTCCAAGTTGTTTGCTACTTTTAATATGCAAACTGAATTTCAAAGTAAAAGCATCTCCGCGTTTGAGGACATGCCAGCTCTGACTGAAATGTCTGCTTTCAGCTTTGTTTTTTTTTTTGCAGAAAAGTGCTAATCATGTTCTCTCATACGCTCTCATACACATACGCTCAGCACAGTCATTACTGCACAAACCAGTGTTTTGAAAAGTATGAAATAATAGGGACCAGCATGGGGCCCAATTTAAATGTTAGACGATACACAGCAATTTGGGGACTAAATGCTGTTGAATGCTGAGCTGGTTGTTGCAGATGTTTAAACAGTGAATTTAAATAGTCTACATCTATACATGTCCAACCCTATGATTCCTCAAAGTAACTGGACCCAGTGATCTCAAACATTGTTATGATACTGTTGTGTAATTCACTGTGATACACGCAAGAGATCGGTGGGAAAAAATTTAGCTTTTTTTTTGACACCTCCCAGCCTTCGCACCTGTGTGAACTAATGCATGTGTTGAGACCTGCAGGGATCATGAATTACAGTGCATTTATAGTGGTGACAAGGTGAATGGGTAAGTATAGGGCACCTGTTCAGGCATGTTGAGCTTTTGCTCTGTGCTGTAACTTATTGTACAGAGAAGACCACAGGGGATAGACGGCATCACGTGGAGAGGGTTTGGAGGATAAAGGACATTTCCCCTGTCGTTTCATGGCTGAGCAATTTGATTTTCCTATGTGATATGCAGAAATCCTTTTGTGGATGTAAATATCTTGCTTTCACAGGCCTTTCTATATATTTTTTTGCATTTAGTTGTTGCTTAGTTCCATATCCGTACCATGTGACAATCAATCGGTGCTCTCATGACCTGCCAAAGGAAACGCTTCCTAAAATAACTGCCCTAGATACCCAAATACAGCATCCTCTCATGAATGAAGACTCTGTCAGGGAAGTGCAGCATCCTAACAGCATTGTGAGTCTAAGCTCATAATGATGTTGCAGAGTTGTCAACTTTTCAGTAATGGTTGGCTTTCTATTTAACATAGAATAGCAGGTGAATATCAGATATGACAGCTCAAACTGTTGAAAGAACCACGCGGAGTTTCCCTACAATGAACAATTTAGCATTACAAGGTCAGGGGGCTTTTATTTTGGAGCTGAGCACAGGTATCGCCTGCAGCACATATTTCCAGCTGCTTTCAGGATGATATAGACCCCTTAAAGTGAGCTCATTGTGTCTTCTCTTACTCCCACATTACACCATCCACATACACACACACACGCAGCCACAGCAGATTAGGAGGATGGGAGGATGGTTATGCTCAAGAATGACAACCTTATCACTGAGTCTTCAGCTTGCAGGGTCAATGGGCCCCAGTGCCAGGAAAGGCCTCATTCTTTTCCACCTACCTATGCATGTCATCCCACTGTTATACCGTATCAAAGACAGAGCTTTAAGGCATGGTGCAATGGCTGTGTGTGATTATGTGAGAAATGTTCGGTGAGGTTTCTTCGCTGACACTACATCTCTCAATTGTATGTGAAGACAATTTTATAATCTGATTTTGTAAAACCAGAACAAAATACAGTTGTCTGAAACCTTATTTGACACCAGTATAATGTGTTTCCAATATAACTTCTACATTTTGACAGCAAGCCCGCCCTCTTTGCTAAAAACTTGAATTTCATCTGACACCACAACAAAGCTTTCATGACAATCCATCAAGTTTAAATTTCAGAATAACAAGGCTGTCAGATTATTCAAAACAAGTGACGGTTAATGGAAAAAGTATATATTCATGGGTAATGGATGAGCAATAAGTCACGATGTCTAAAAATATCTCCATTTGTTACAATGCATTTTCGCTTGCTGTTTTTAGAGTGGAATTTAAAAGCTGGAGAAGTAAATATTTCATGACTGTGGAGCTGGCCGGTGATCGGCCGTATCTAACGGGAGACACGCGCTCTTTAAAATCATTTCTGGACAGATTCCAGGGCACTGCATAAGTTTGAATTATTACAGAAAAGTGCAGAGACATATTGTAAGGTAATAATCAATCTTGTATGGGTGAATGCAGCTCAATAAAGAAATATAAAAGGACATTTCAGATATTTAATTTTAGGACTCTTTAAATTCACGAGCATCAATTCCCATCCTTGTCGCAGCACTAAAGGCTCCCATTTAGCCTCCATTAAAAATACATTTTCCTCTATACTCCAACTGCCAAGGTTATGCAAATGCATGCACAACAGGAGCAGTAGTTGGCCGGCTATGCAAACCCACTGAGCAGTGCAGACAACCTCCTTATCTATTAAAACCCAAGGAGGTCGATTGTTTGGTTGACCTAATGTCTCATTTGGATGCACGTAATACCATCTGAAAGCAATCTAATTTCAACAGAGGGTCCTTCACTAAAAGCTGGCCTCTTGTCAAGGATTCAGCCGCTTTGCTGCCAAGAGAAGACATTGAGATGAAATTAATGAGTAATAAATGTTTACTCGTATGATTAGGCTTTTTCTCTGCATCCAGAGCCCTTAAACTTTGCACAGAGGATACGTTGGCTGTGTGACGGACAATGCACCAGTTATCAATGTGTAATGCGATGTTAGCTCCTCAGAATATAAATCTCTCTCTCTCTCTCTCGCGCTCACACTCAGGCTGTCTTTCCATGTCTGTCTCGTTCTCTTTCTGCTCGTGCCTCCCTCTCCGTGCCTGGTATTCCATCTCCTTACTCTGGGGCGGTAATGAGTGTCTGGTATTCTGCTCTTCAGCATTGAAGCCCTATTCATGCTCAATCTCCTTTACAATGCACTAAAAGGATTATCCAATTAGCTGCTATTGGATGCCATTGTGTGTGTTTGTGTGTGTGTTTGTGTGTGCGTGCATGTGTGTATGCGTGCGTGTGTGTGTGTGTGTGTGTGCTTGGTCAGTAGATAGATGTGTTAGCAGTGAAAGTGAAAGATAGATGACTGTCTCCATCCCACACTTCATTCCCAGTTGATGTTGTGCTGGAGGCCACATTACTCATCCCCACAACTCACACAACTCAGCCTTGTGAGTAAGACACAACATGGGGAAGTGTGTGTGTGTGTGTTTCAGTGTTTCTGTGTGTGTCTGTGTGAGTCTAGGCCTGACAGGCTGTAGAGGATGACAGAGAAAGAGACAAAGTATTACTTCTCAATAATTCAACCTACCAGCCCATCACTCTCTGGAAATATACTCTCTGCTGTCACATGTGTGCTGTTTCTTCTTCTCCTCATGTAATTTGTGAGTTTCATTTCCACTGTCATGCCTGCGATAATAGGAAATGCCTGCTTCATTACCTATGAATCATGAGTTAGTTAGTGTGAACCACAGATCGATTCCAGTTATCTAATGTGTTACATCACACTGTAAGCAACATGTTCAACATTTATGGGATCGAACAGTATAAAGATTTATTGAGATTGATTTCTCCATCAGAATTAAAGGTAAACTCCCGCATTTGTATTTATATTTTATAAACTAAAAGTATTAAGGTACACTGCTGCCTTTCAAATATTTATTTTTTGTTGTTAAATTTCCTCTGGGTTGTATAAAAGCCAGCAGTAAGTTTGCCAACGTGTATTGCCCACAAGTCACAGTCTGATATAGCTCCTCTTGGCCCACATGTTGATGAGCAAACACGGATTTTGTGGAAATGATAATGTCAGTTTGGCAGGTTTTTGCATGTAAAGGTTGTTATTCAGGAGTCTTGGATGTCAGACATCCCTACCAGGGCTCACATCCCACTGGAAACCTTGGCAAAACCTGTGCTTTCATCTCCATTATCACACAGCATTAGCACAGCTTTACTAATAAATATTTCCTGACAGATTAGTAAATCTATAAATGAAGTACTGACATGTGTCAAACCCAAAAAAAAAAAGTCAAAAGTAATGAGCAATGAGGTTTTGAGAATTGTGTGGGATTAATGTTTAGAGGGCTGCTTTTCAGATTTCAAACATCATTTCATTATTCATTTATGGGTGTTGCTTCATAACCTGTTTAACCTGTTGTATTATTTTGTGACTCTTTATAAAGTTTTTAGGATCTCTTCGATGGTACTATCCGGTATATTTTGAACTTTTATACTTGTGGAGAGAAAGTCTGTATTTCATTCCAGGGGGCATAAGCCTTTGTAAACACAGAGGGATTAAGAAAAAAATTCCATAAAGAATTGCCTTGTTCTTGTGTTTTTGCATTTTTACTCATTCAAAGGACTGAAAGCCAGAATATCTGATCTTCATTTGCAAACTGCAGTAATTCAACCATAAATTACCCACACTTTATAGTAAACGGGGTAAAACGTTAAAGTTTTGTTGCTCTTTTTTTCTTGAATTTTCAAATTTGCTTCAAATTAGTTACCAAAAAAATACATGAAGTTAAAACATAAACTGTATAAAGCAGGTGGAGCCCGCAAAGAAAAAGATATTATTTAAGATTTGATATGCACTTAAGACTGCACACATCAACAAAGAACAATAAGCTTCCCAAGTCTGACCTAAAAAAACAGACTCTGAACTAGATAGATTACACATGCATCTGCTAGAAATTACCATATAGACAGTGAGAATTAAAGTGATGCCATCTGGCACAGTGGCGGCGTGGAGGTACAGTGAGAACAGAGGAGAGTTTCATGGTCATTGTGAAACAGGTATAAATCCTGAACCTTTATAACACACTGCTGCCTTCCACTGGCTGTGCTAATGGATTGGCTATGCTTTGCGAGTGTGTGTCTGTGAGTGTGTATGTGTGCGTGTTTTTGCGGGACGGGGGTGGGGGGGTGTATTGTCAGCTGGTCTTGTGCAGGACAGGCCTTTGTGTCAGGCAGGTCAGCTGGGGCTCAAAAGCTACGAGGACACCCCGCCCACACTGACAGAGAAACACACACATGCACACAATAAACGAGTGCACAACACTCTTTTGTGCAGGCACTGAAAAATATGCAGCCAATCAGATATAAGATTAGATATATTCATGCACACACACACACACACACAACCTCGTCCCGCCTCACCAAAGGTCTTAAATCAGGCTGTCCACTCCAGACCTGCGGGGTCAGACCATTTGTACTGCTTATTAAAATTTGCAATGATGGAGCAATGAAAAGATTTTCAAATCACTTCTATATTTGCATCAAATAGAAGAAAAATTGACCAATTCTTAGTAGCAAGTGAGCAGGAGCATAAAAGTGAAATGTCAGGATCATTGTTCAGACAAACAGGCTTCAGGGTCTGAATAGGACTAATCGTGGAACAATGGTAGTCAGCTGAAGGGATGAGTGAACAGTGCTGCTGAAAATGATTATGGCAGATCTACAGAGATAAGTAGGTCAAAAGACGGTGAAAACACTTTATGGTAAGAGGTTTCAGACAGTGTGATGTAATACGATGGTAACTTTAGTGCAATTTTGTCTGCACTTCTTGAAAGATCTCAGTATAGGGTTACTTCTCACAGTTTGTTATTAGTTCAATTTTACCAAACAGCTTTTTTAAATAGATTTTTGTGCAATTCTATCAGTAAATCAGCTGCGTTCTGTCTCTAGAAACCTGGTAAAGCACTTTGTTTTTTTCACATTACGAGAAAGTATACGTTTACTCGTGACAAAAATGGGGTGGAAGATTTACACTTGTTTTGTCAGCCGCAGAGTGAGGCCATATCTTTTCTGTTGTTGTTGTTTGTTCATTTTGGAACACAGTGCCTTGTATATTTTCCTGTCGTGGTGTGTGATTGTATTTCATCCACAAGGTGTTTTGTCAACTGTGTGCGCTCTGTGGGATGCTGAATGCTCTATTGCCTTAGAGGGACTCCAGCAATGACACTGTGAAAGTGTGTGTAATTTGCGTGGACTTGCATAGGTGTGTGTTAGAGAGTGAGTCTGTGTGTCGCTCTGAACAAACAGCATTAAGGCGGAATGGTGGTAAATCGCTCTAAAACTGAGGCTCTCCAGCCCTCTTATTGTGAGGACTAGTCATTTATTTAACACTCAAATATGGTCCTGGGCTGTTTGGGGAGAATACATCAACCGGCACACGAGAGTCCACACAAAGAGGGCACACTTCAACAGACAAAGAACGAAAAGATAGAGGGCGAGCGCCTTTTTTTTTTTTTTTTACTTCAGATGAGGAGTTGTTTGTTCAGGGTGGGTGCAGGGCACCAAGTAGGACGGATGGATGGAGGGAGGGACTGATGGGAGGGCGAGAGGGAAGGATGAATGGTTATTACACAGTTAGTCGATGCACAAACGGGGGGTGTCTGTGGGTGATTGTGAGGGGAGGAGGGGGGTGTAAAAGATCTTTTGTGAGGGTTGGGAGTTAATCACTTGAGCGGCACACGCCAGTTCTATGGGAGCACATGTTGTACACCGGCTCCCCTGAGAGGAGTGGGAGGTCCCAAAACACACACCGCACACACACACACACACGTTTGTACACACACACATACACACACTTGAATTTACATGTCAGTTATAATGCAAAGCTGGGTACAGGCCGACAAGGCGAGCAGGAAGACCCACCCCCTCTGCAGAACAGTTAGCAGACCCTCCTGGCCGAGGTGATAGCGGTTTCATTTGCTGTGTGTTCATTCACACACACAGACGTGCACAAGTCTGCCTGTTTGTTTTCCTCGAGACTGGATAGATGACTCTGCAGGGGCCTTGCTAGAGATGGATGCTTAGTTTGACCAGGCAGTAAGTAAAATCTATTGTTTCATTACATCAGTCCCATGTCAGTGGTGAATGCTAATATCTGAGAGTGATAGTGAAGGCTGAAGCTCAGATTTAGGAGCAGACATCCAGCCACAATAAACCAGAGGCAGACCCAGCCATGTCAAAGACTGTTTACTACAGCGGCACAGAGGACTGCTTTGCTTTGTGTCTGTGCAGGTACAAATTTAACACCATATGTCATTGCTCAACATTTTCAGTGGCAAAACAGAAAATCAAAACTGAAGCTGTGCTGGGAGATGACTTTTATGATTAGGAGGGTTTGTGCAGCTTAAGATTATCTTTCCTTTCCTGTATTCACCAAGAACAGACTGAAACTGTTTATTTTCTGCAACTGCCACCGCTCAGACTCAGAAAAATCTTTCTTCTTCCTTCGTATGCATGCCACTCTATCTCCCTTTCTGTCTGTCACTGATGGTACTATTATTCTCCTCATCATGAAGCAATCATTTTATACATGTCTCATCTCACTTATTATTGTTTGGGAGGTGATGAAAAGTGACAGCCTTGATCAGAACTTTCCTTCAACATTTTCCTCCTCAAACATCACACACCTCTGGAACAGAACAATGACAGCTATGTGTTTCCTTACAAATGCCAAAGTACAGCCAACAATTAACCTTAAGTCAAATGTAGTGTAAACTAATATGTGACTTATAGCAAGCAGTTAGTCCCATGCTTTGTTGCTGTGGCCGTTAGAAAATGCTTAAAGGCTGAGGACCAGGTGGTTGGAGGAGCCTGCAGTGATCAGCCAGTATGGAGCCCTTTGCCACTGAAAGTGACTGCTGAGGAGACTTTTCCCCTGTGGGTTAGAGATCATGATAGCAACATCTGGGGTCTTGTTGTCTACCAGAGGAGGGGGGGACAGCGACACAGCAACACTAGTGCCTTGCAAGTTTGTCAAAAAAAATGGCCTTAATACAGAATGTTACCTACATAAATGCAGTCATGTGTCTAATATTTACTTCATAATTGCAGCCAGTCATGGAAGTAAAACCTAATATTTGTGTGGTCTATTTGTTCCATGTTCAAGTACAATAGCAAAATACAAAAATGATTGTATGCTGTAGTGTTATTCAGATGGCAGCACCAGCCTAGCGTTGAGTAGGTAGTAAGTAGCCTAATTGCCAGTTTGTTTAGAGGAAGGGCACCCAAAGGGTTATTTGTCAAATTCAACGGTCGAGCCATAAATCTAGACGCACAAAGCCAGGCAGAGTGCCAAGATGGGCTTTTTTTAGTTTGTTTGTTTTGCAAATGTGAACACACCTGCTTCAACACTGCATGCCTCAACTGAACAGGAAACAATGTAATTAAACGACACTGATACGGATCAGGGTAAGTTATGATATGACTTTGTCCTTTTATGAAAGGAAGTTTTTTTTCGTTGAAAACACTCCCTGCCGGCCCTAAAGATGCCTAAACATAATTGCTTCCTTTAGAATGTGCGGATCTATGAAGTCCCTGCCTCTTTCTCAGTCCACTCTGTTCCCTACTCACTGCAGATGGAGAACACCAGCTCACTCTGGTCAAACTCTGTAAAACTACTTTGTGCTACACAAGTTGTAATATTGGAGTAATTCAGCCATACATGTTTAAACCAGAAAAACTTTCTGAAGAAGAATAATGATACCGAACTCTGACAAAATTGGCTCCTTTGGTTTGTTACAAACCTTGAATGTGTGAATCTGTGTTTTCGACATGGTTGTCAGTAAACTGCAGATTCAAGGTGAGAATGAACCATGATGGCTGAACGGTGGTAATAACTGCTTATTTTACTCATGGCGTGTCTTCTCAAATAAAAAAAAAAAAAAACATCATAAGGCCAACAACTTGATATTCACTGCAGGAGGTCAGAGACAGAATATTTTCATAGTGATTCAAATATATTTTCCATTTCTTGTCTTGCAGAGGAAGCCACAGACAGACAGAACCTCTCTGGGGTCATGAGACATCTCTTCCTTTCATTTCTATTTAACTTGACCACCTGGAGTTCAGCCCCATCCTGCCTTCATCTATGCTCGCAGGACCATGGGTAGTGTCAGCAGCGTCATTAATGGCAACAGCCTCAACAGCAAACACTGCAAGGCTTCTGAGTACAGGTTAAAGGAAGGAACAAACCATCACAGAAAGAGTGGAGGTTGCAGCCTTGACGGGATACTGAAGTGCGGCTTCACTCAGAGCTCCACTCATCCCACTAAGGGCCTCTCCCACTCACGGTCGGGAAGGAGTGAAGATTTTTTTTACATCAAGGTGAGATCACATGTTTAAATTATATCTCTAAATGGAAAAAAAATGACAACATATATGGCCTAGTGCACTGCTTTTGGATGAAATGTTTACCCTGTTGCACACAAGGTGGGCCACAAACCGAGGTCAACATACCACAGAGAGCGATCGATGGAGGAGCAGCTGAACAGAGATGGGGAATCAGATGGGCGACTGCAACCAAAACTGCTGCTCATGTCGGGAAAAATGAAGGACAGGGTGAGCCCAGTGTTTCTGCACGCTAGATTTTAATAGGATGTTCCAACATTCAGGGAAACATTTCCTGCTTTTGTGAGAGTTAGATGATTCATGGAAAAACTCACGTCTGATGGTGAAGATGGTGTCTGGACCCAGCATGGTTAGCTTAGCTTAGCATTAAAACTATAAACAGGGAGAAACAGAAAGTGTGACTTTGTGCAAAGGTAACAAAATCCACTGTTACACCTGCCAGTCTCACTAATTAACACATAATATTCAGTTTGTTTCATCCACAGAGGGAAAAAAAACACACAATTAACCATATTACTAGGATTATGAGCCAGTTATTTCTCAGTTGGAAGCTGTTGCCAGGCAATCAGCAGAGACTCCGGGAAGTTAGTGTTCCCAGCCAAGATGCAGTCCAGTGCATATCCTCTTGTAAAACAGCAAATTGTTGCTTTTATAATGTGCTATGTAGTAAACTTTAAGAGGCTAATATGAGCACGTTTTCTTACAACCAGGCTAGCAATTTCCTCTTGTTTCCAGGTAGCTGGTGTCTGGTGGTAGCTTCATATTTAGCACACACAAGAGTGCTATTAATCTTGTCACTGAACTCCTGGAAAGTGAATAAGCGTGTTCTCCAAAATCAGGGTTTTTCCTGCATATGGGAGAGTGGCCCACAGAGGGTTTTAGCTGGCACCAAAGGAAACCCACCAGCACCAAAGCACCAAGAATTAGGAATTTAAAAAAAAAAAAATCTATTTTGTTGATTGAGTATTTGCTCAGTTGTTGATGATTTTGCTTATCAGATGGTCAGAAATAACAGGCAAATGTATTTATGTGTAATGCAGCACTTACTGTCCTTTACTAGCAGATCATACTTACTGTTGTGCGTAGTCACCTCACAAAGGTCCATGCAGAGCCAGGAAAAACCATGAAAATGTCAAACAGATCTTTAAAGTTGAATTGCATTGAGATAGTACTCGAGATCAGGCTTTTATGTCCATTATTATGCCCTCAAAAAATGTAACGTCACTGTGCTTTTCTTTAGTGGAACAGTTGCTATGGTTATTCTTACAACCATTAAGTAGTCATCCTGCGTAACTTGCAACAGACTTTGAAAACCTCGCAGCGAACTGGAGAATAAAACATGCACAGCAGGTAGTTTAATAGGTAGCAGTCATTCTTCATAACCTGTGTTGAACCTTCCCAGCTTATTAATCACCTCATCCCAGATTAATGGCCTAAGAATGCCTTGATCTTCTCCGAGAAGTCATTTCTGTGCCAAGAATATGTAGGCAAACTGCATCCTCTTCAATAGGCCTTTATTCCTCAGGGGCAAGTGGGGGGCTTTAGAAGAGATAGAGCACAGAATCAGGGAGAAAAGAGGAAGAGAGAGAGAGAGAGAAAGAGAGAGATCGAGGGCCAGAGAGAGTTTGAGGGATAGAAAGAAAAAAAAAAAAAAACAAGGAAAGGCATCCCAGCCATGAAGTCAGTGAGAAGGAATGCTGAGCTCACAAGCTTTACCTCTTACACTTCAGCAATAGCTCATATTATTAATATCACAGAGAAAGGCTATTCATCTTCCCTCAGACAGCACATGGAGGAGAGATGTGGGATGCAGAGGGGAGGAGAAGAGGACAGAAAGAAGGGGAGGTACGGTGCTGCTTGTGACATTCTTGGACAGCACAGATGGGGCATGTGGAGTATAAGTTCATCTCCGAAATGAGTTTTCTCTTTTATGACAGTCTAGTGAATTTTACTTGCAACCGCCGCTGTGTGGCTTTTAATACTGCCAGTTTGTAGTGAAGCAATTCTGCATGCTTCACTGCTTCTATTTCTAATATGAAGAGACGCACTGGAAAAAAAAAAAAAAATCTATCCCTTTCATTTCTACACACTTACAGCATGTGACAATATTTATCTATGTGAAAACCAGTCATTATGATTTTTAAGTTTCAGAATGTGACTCATTCTAGGCTCTTTCTGCTCTCCACAGCAGCTCACAAGGACTTGATTTTTTTTTTCTTTTGGTGTGCTGTCAGCTAAGAGGAGCCACTGAATATAAAAACAAAAATAGGGACTGACTGTGTGTCATTTCACTCTTCTAGACCTCTGCTGAGAAGTCATTGGTCCGTTCCACTGCCTTCAAGCCTGTGAATCCCACAAGGACTTCGTCCGCAGAGACGGGCCACAACAGCCTGGACCACATCCTTTATCCTCTGAAGAGAGCAAGCAGTCCAAATATTAGACACAAGCAAGACACCTTGGGTTTGTGTCTATATCATATTAGCAAAGTGTTGCTTTGAAATTAGATTACGCAGGTTGAATGAGAAATTATAGAAAAGTACAGTGTCATCTCTTTTCCTTACAGGGACTCTCTCCGACTCCGGGCGTAACTCTATGTCTAGCCTGCCCACCCACAGCACCAGCGGCAGCCTAAGTGCTTCCACAGGCCCTGTCAGTCACAGCGATGGCAGCTCAGCTCTCGCAAACAGCCTCAGCAAGGGAGCACAATCCAATTTCCCTCCATGGGTCAACGGGAATAGCACTAACCTTGACTGTAGTTACAGGGCTGGTTTAAACAGCAGCGGGTTGGCGTCTAAGGCTAATGAGGATGCTGGCTCCCCGTTCTCTGCGGATGAGCCAAGCTCTCTCTCGGAAACTGCAGGTGGGATTCGGTCCCCCATTACTACAGATGAGTCACTGATTGAACGTCTGGAACAAAGGCTGCTGGAGAGAGAAACTGAACTGCAGGAGCTACAGGTACCTGTACTGTCAGAGGAAAAAAAAAAAAACATCATGTGCTTTTAATCAAGATGAATATTTCTCATGAGTACTTAGACAGTGCATCTGTCTGACAAATTCTTACTAAGATATCTTTATCTTGCAACAGGTGAGTTTTGAGGAGAAGGAGGCAGACACCTGCCAGCTGTTTGATGAAAGACAAAGGTATTGTGCTGAGGAGATGGAAGGACTGAAGCAGCGATGCTCCACAAAGCTACGACAAGTATCTCAAATGGCCGCAAAAACGCATCAAGCACTCCAGCTGCAGGTCACCCAGCTCCAGGTCAGCCTTTGGATGCTTTTATTCAGTGCTGTTATTTCTGATCATATTCATCAATCAATGCACTTATCTTCATGCATTTTACCTGAATTTTATATAACAAAAAAATAGCAGATGCATACCTTGGACACTTGTGTGAATAAGTCATTTAAACTCTTGTGCAGGCAGAGAAGGAAAGGCTTCAGGAAGACGTCTTCAAGTTGACTCAAGAGAAAGACCTTGTCGGGCTCAGACTGAGATCTTATGAGACAGAGAGCACACAGCTGGCTCCGACGCTCGAGGAAACTCAGTGGGAGGTGAGTCACGCCTCACATGTGTGGTGTACAGTAAGTTGGATATGAAATCTTGTAGCATATAAAGCAATGTGGATACAAACTTAACGGCTGTGCTGAGGTGCAATAACACCTGTTGTTCCATCACCACAGGAAAAATCTACCGTTTCGTATCATATTTATTATGAAAGAAATCCATCAGTTTACATTTTCCTGAATTATTCACACTTCTGCTTTTTACATCAGCAGCATCATTTACATTTTTTAAACTGAAAACCTTTCACATTTCTATCACTATATTATCAGTCGCTGCAAAATAAGCTCAAAATAACTTATTTTCTATAAGTATAGTAGCAGACTTTTATACACCGGCTGTGTAAAATGGGTTGCTCAAAGAAATATTAGAGTTGTTTGGGGGTTTTTTTTAGCATATTTCATCCTCTCTTTTTTGGTAACTTTACTGTTTTGGTTCAGTCTCATCCATTACCGACAGTTTTCAGCAAACAAGCCCTGATAAACTACCATAACTGCAGGCCACCTGCCCAAAACCAAACAGCAAACAAAGTTATCAACCGCCTGGCAACACACTGCAGCATTTAACAACTCGAGAACTAGATATGTTTCCCTGAGGAGTTGGTGGAGATCAAAAAAACAGAGATAAAAGGAGTGTGAACACTTGACTTGCGCTGCTGTTCTCTGTCTGTTGGATGTAAATAGCCGACTGTTTCTTGACACGTTACGCCATAACAACTTTACATGGTGTTAATATTTCAGTGTGGAGTTCACAGCTGGTTGCACTGCCCTAATTTGGCAAAAGAAAGAAGCACAGCAAATGCATGTTTAAACCTACTGTGAATTTGTCGTACTGCTAAATCACCAGCTTACGGCGGGCATGGGATGAAAATGTTCTGTTTCCCATGCATGATAATGTCACACAATGCCTTACTGGTAAAGGAATTTATATGACTAATATTTGATGCAGCATAAAAGCATTCAGCATTTCAGGGTGCATGTTAATTTTAAACTGTATTCAGAACCAGATTTTCAGTTTACAACCATTGTCTGTGTATTGTCGTGGAAAATGCACAAAATTCATAATTGCAAAAAATGTAAATGAGGCTCAGTTGTGAGAAACTCATTAAAATGAAAATGCACATTATTAACAGGTGATATAACAGTGTCAGGGTAACAAATGGTTTTCTTTTCTTTTAAATGCGCACTTAACACGTTTTGCAGACATCGACTCACTGTTTCATCTTCATAATTTTCTCTGTCCGTGTCCAAATGTAGGTGTGCCAGAAGACGGGCGAGATCTCACTGTTGAAGCAGCAGCTGAGAGACTGCCAAGCAGATGTCAGCCACAAGCTAAATGAAATAGTCAGCCTCAGGGCGTCACTAAAGGAAAACACCGCAAAAATGGAGCTGCTGGAGAAACAGAATAAAGACCACGAGGACAAGCTCCACTCCCGCTCCATAGAGGTTGAGGTTAGTCACTTGACAGCAACACACACGTGAATAAAACACTCACAGTGCGCTTATAGGACACTTATGGTTAGGAAGGATGCCTGCGATACGCGCTACGTTTGACCTGTCGAGTGCTATGTTCTCAATTTCCATGTTTTAGCAGTCTTAATCACAGTCTTAAAAACTGAGCGTATTTGACACTTCATATAATTAGGCGCTGTTACATCACTCAAAATAATCGTCTTAATTGCTGCCTATGTCTGAATGTTTTCCATTTTCAATTCAGGTGTGCCAAAATGAACTCCAGCGCAAAAAGAATGAGGCTGATTTTCTGAGAGAAAAAGTGGGCAAGCTGGAGAAAGACATTCAGGGAATGAAGCAGGACGTGGCCGCGGCCAAAGAGCAGAGGCTGCAGCACAGTTTGCAACATAATGCCTCTTCCCCGACTCAGGCCTTGGAAAGACTCACCCAAGGTCCAGACTCCCCAGGCCAGGGCCAGACGGAGGAGAACAGGGAACACATCCCCACAGAATCACTCCAAAGGCAAGTGGAGAGACTAAAGCAGCAGCTCAGGGAGGAGAAGAACGCTCAGGAGAAGCTGGCCAGCAGCTTCGAGCAGGAGAGGCAGACGTGGAACAAGGAGAAAGACAGGGTCATCAAGTACCAGAAGCAGCTCCAGATCAACTACCTGCAGATGCACAAGAAGAACCAGGACCTGGAGCGGATCCTGAAGGAGCTGACGGCCGAACTGGAAAGCCGAACGGAGCTCGGCATGGACATGACCTACAGCTCAGGGTTACAGACTTATGACGATGTCATTGCCACAGAGATTTGAACGGGGCACTCACTCGCATGCTTTTGCAAAAAAAGTGATCTTGTCTATTTTTTCACCGCAGATAATTATCTGTCTTCACATACAGCATCACAGCAACAGGAGCTCGTTCACTGTTTTACAAGGGTTATTTAATAGAATATGCGTATTGTAGAGGTTTTTGTGTCCAGGCAACAAAAACAGTACTAATAAAAATAGCTTCTGGTGATGGCACTGTTACTATCTATTTTAAAGTAAGTTATTTAATGTTCAAGTGACATTTTTTTTAATATATATATATATAAACCATGCTGTCTAACAGAATCACTTATTATTCAAATCGTCCACAATGTTGTAATTTAAACACCCTTTATTATTTGATAATTGATACAGACCAGACAACAGCTGATTTATTCGTTTCATGATTAATGTCTGATGGTAACACATGATAAGCATGATAGCGGCTTAGCATCTGTCTCTTCCAGCACGACAAAATGACAGTGATCTATATCATCTATTGTGAGTGTGGTTTCCTAAATCGTGGCCACTGTATGCTCCCACACTGTCTTTCTTTAAAGGTTTTGAGCATGGAAATGAGTTTTAAACATTTCATTGGTCATTTGAAAACAAATCGTTACCCACCTCGAAACACACACTGAAATCTGTTTAAGCTATCACGCATTTTCACCCTTATAAGTATAATATGCAAACAGACAAACAGTGAAGCTGATATATTTTATTAAAATGTCAGTATATTTTTGTCACTCTTAAGATCTTGTGAAATTGAAGCTATGTTAACAAGAATATTTTCGTGATTACTGAATTTATCTTGCAAGGCTTTTGCCAATGAAAGTGCCGTATGAAGTCTTAATTTCACTGATACAGCAACATCACTCCACATATATTTTTAATAGATTTGTCTACATTTGTTTACGATGGTCAGTTCTGCAAATGCAAGCAGGGATTTACATTTTTTGAATCAGTGGACTGTGAGTGGTTTGTATTGAAGCAAACTTTATGTCTGAACATTTGACGTTGGAACACAGAAAATGCCATGTTAACTCCTACTAGGTTCAGAAATAAAAAATAATGCAGCTGTAGAGAACACTTCAGAGACCAAGGGCAAATGTCGAGATGCACTTTGTGTTCCATGAGTGTTTAGAGGGAGAGAGATTAAAGGGGGCTGGATGGTATACAATAAAAGCAAATATTTTTGGAGAAAAAAACAAAGGGAAAAAGGGTAATCATCCAGGAGCGTCTATCTCTCTCCCTACACTGTTCATTCAACTTTGCGAGAGTTGGCTGGCACAGCTCCACTTGGAGACAAACAATCCTTCCTACCAGCAGCCCCGGCCATTTGGCTCCACTATTTTGGAGCTATTCCACTTTCCACAAGAGAAAAGTAGTTTGGGAAGCGAAAGTTTAACTACTCCACCTACTCAATACTCAGGGGCTCACATAGATAGACAGTCAGGCAGAGGTACATGCAGATGCTGCGCTGGTCAAGAATGTGCTGCAATCTGTGTAACGAGGCTGCTTGAGATTGCTCAGCTACCTGCCATTATGTTACATTACCACAGCAGGTCAGGAGGACTTTGGAGGCAGACAGACTAAGTGGAATCTAAGGTGAGGTACTGTAACCAGTGGCACTCAGGCTCAAGTGACTGATAAGTGCTTGAATCCCTTCCTCTGGGCCTTAGTGCAGAAAAGTGGTCAAATAGCGAAGTAGCGAAAGGACAGTTGTAATCACAGCTATGGTACTAGTAAAAGAAAAAATGCTTGAAATAAAATATTTTAAAAAATAATAATAAAAACTCAAACGTAGAGGAACTTGCATACATTGGGCAGAAACCCTCAGTGAATCAGCCTGTGTGCTGAGATAGAATTGGAAATGAGTGCCAACAAACAAACAAGGGTACAAACGCGTAGGTGATTTGAAAAGCAACGAATGTTTGTCATTTGTGCATCGCTGCACAACACTTTTGCTCATTTACTCTGCTCTATTCTGAAATTCAGTTTATGTAAAAGTGAAATTTTCATCTATTCACTGAGGCGTTTTATGTCCAAAAAAAAACTAAACAAAAAACAGGATGAGCAGTTTTATCTATGTTCCAACATCAACAATCATATTATCGGACTAATTTACATTCTGCTTGCTTTTGCTGATTACTGAAACTATCCTTTAATCCACTCCTTGTTGAAAGGTATGTGGGGGAATACTACTGAGGAACTACACCACACCACAATAGACGCTGCGCTGCAGTTGTAAACGTATAGAGGTGTTAGAGTTAGAAGAAAAAAAAAAACGTGAGGTGACATTACTATTTATAACACAACTTGACAAGCGAATGCTGGATTTAGACTCATAAATAAATATGACTGCTGTTGATATGTATTCAAAGCTGTCTTCAACTGCACTCTTTGTCAATCCCTCATTATCATTCTCCATTCCTCTTGGACTTAAATAACGAGAAGATTGTTTTCCTCTCCCATCTAATCATCTAATTTCAGCCTTTTGATACTGTTTCCTTCCTCACAGTTCTTTGCATCTCAGCTTCTGTCATAACTGAGCCAAATCAAAACTGAAATCAAATTAAGGCCCATTGTCAGTGTGTGGGGCTCTGTCACTGACATGAAAGAAGGACCACACCGAAGAGATAACAAGAAATTCAAAGTGGCTGGTTCAGCATGAAAGAAAAATAACAGAGCTGTGAGGATGGGGGGGATTTCTTCCTCAAAATAACCATGTAAGACACATCACCTATACATACGCAACTGCATACAATAAACACAGATCCTTGCTGCCATGTTTTCCCGCGATTCACACTGAGTTTTTGGTCTAGCAGATGTCTCGGTGTGATTGGACAGCAGTTAAGCAGCCATCAGAAGACACCGGGTGATAATTTAGCCCTGCCCTGCAGTGACATGATAATAATGCACTCATATCCTGCTGTGATTCTCCTGATCGGCTGACAGTCAAGCACAAAAGGGCCTGAATTCATTAGTAACGGGGAGGTGCTTTCGCAAACCTATTCCACATACAAAAACTCTGGGCGCTCACAGCAAACAAATGCAAGAAATTCATAATTTGAACTATTGTGGAGAGGGGGAAAAAAAAAAAAGAAAAGAAAAAGCACTCCGATAAACCAGGAGTTTGCACTTCATTTCAAAGCCCAACCCTCACCTCTAACATTATAATAAATATTCCATACCAGTAAATAATAGATGAGTCAATAACACAGTATCAGTTTCTACCTTGCCCTCATTACTCATTACACACTCACATACTCAAATGTGCTGTATCCAAACCATACCCCTAAGCAATTAGTTGCTCTAAAATATCAGGGGGCTAGTTACTCAGGCATGTATTTCATATTTTTATTGGTTTATTCGGTGCCCTGCATGCAGACCAGGCTATAGCAAACACTGCCTCTGCAAATCCCCAAGCTCCTCTACAGTCAGCAAAGTAATTGGGGAGGGAGTCTCAAAGGGTTCTCATATACTGCTGAAGCCTTTGCTACCGACAAGTTGAAATGGCAATAGAGGTAGATAGGAGTCAGTGCTTGTGTGCAAGCGTGTGTGTAAAGGATATAAGTGCAGGAGGGTGGCCTGAGCACTTTGTGTGAATAGGACCGCAGTCTTTAGACACTCGCTGGTTGGCTGGGAAACCATCTGGTTCCCCCAACCCCCCTCAGAAACATTGCCCATGGTTACCCATGTCTGCAGGGATGTCATATTCTGCTCATGGGGAAATGTGTGGGTGGTGGTGCTGTAGGTGGTGGTGGTGGTGGTGGTTGTAGTGGTGGGGGAGAAGCTGTACGGATGCCAATTTAAGTCCCTGCTGCTCAAAATTAGTTAATTAACTCTATCTCTCACACAGAGAGAAACTTCCTTTGTAAGTAATTCTACCATTCATCACAATCCGACTCTTTTATTCTAAAGCTTTGCCAACTATCAGCTTGTGAAATTAGCAGGAACAGTTTAATATGGGATAAAACTAAATAAATGTGAAAATATGTGAATCTATAGCATTGAATAAGCAGAAACAGTCAAATGGGGTTGAAGCAAATTTCTGAATTAGAGGGCAAATTTTAAATAGCACCACAGCTTTCAGGCATATACTTTGTCTGCAACTGCAGCTTCACTGATAAGATTAAGGAGAAAGCATTCACTTTGCTTAGACACACATTAATAGATTTTTCCAAAACCACGTACCTAACATATCCACCAAAGATGCTTTTCAGATTTCAAGTTACCGTTACAGCTATCTACGTCAAACAATTACAGTGTGAGTCTACATCTCTTATCAAAACAGCATATAATTGGATTTATTTATGATTAAAATGATGAAATGATGCCACAAAACATGTATACAGACACATTATAAGGATTTAATTTGCAACAATTACAAATGAGTGCGTCAGTTTTTTACACTCACTCTGTGCACTGAGACAAAGTGATCGTATCCTGAAGTGATGATAAAACGAAGATGGGTTGCACTGCTGCCATTTAGCTGAAAGACAGAAATAAAGACAAGTAGGTTTGTTTGTTTTTTTCTACAAATTCTAATTCTATGCATCCACAGGCTTAACATAAGAGTATTTCCATGTCAACTTACTGAAATAGCATTTGACTGAAGATGTCCCTCAGTGTATTCAAATTCTGCAAGGCAATTAGTTTGTTAATCCCAATTTCAGTTCTCTGGAATTCAAACTTAATGTGCAAACAAAATACTGTAGAAGGGTGTCCCCCTTACCTTTCTCTGTAACAGGCTCAAACTGAGACGCATTTTGTGACATATTCTTTTCTATCTTTAGATGCTTGACTGCAAAAAAAAAGAAACAAAACACAATCAGACATGAAAGACTGAACCAAAAACTCAACACACAAAAACTCAACACAAATATATAAATGTGTGTGTGTGTGTGTGTGTGTGTGTGTGTGTGTGTGTGTGTGTCTGTCCGCGTGTTTTTAGGAAAAACAAAAAGAAAAATGTAAAAAGAAAATAACAATGAGCATGTTACATGGGTCAAATGTGGCAAAACTCCATTTGTATACATTTCTGTGAGTTATGGCTTTCTTCCAACAAACGACAACCAGGTAACATCAAATGATCAGAAATCAGTCTGTGTGAAAACTGCGTTATTCACATGTATAACCAAAGGTTCTGGGAAATAGATGTAGTGGTCTGTGTTTCTATACTGGTTCCCTAATATATAGTTTTGCTTTCTTGTGATTTCTAACACTACTTTCTAAAGAGATTTCTATAAATATCAGAAAACTTATTGTGGACTTAATCTGAACTTAAGATTTGGTTTAAAAAAAAATGTTGTGTTCATGGTGATTCATTTTGAAACACAAGACATGGCAAAGTAAAAAGAAGGTGAGAAAACAGCTGATTGCATGTATCTGTCCTTCTGTTTTAGACTGTGCTAAATTCTAAGTTGTCGTTTAACTCTGTGTATTTGTGTGATGTCAAAAACTACCTCATTGTCAGATTCATTTCATACCTTAGAACGTGTCATTTCCCCTGCATATTAACAAAGAGCCAACTGTTAATTAATGTTAAATTGAATGTTGGCTGGGGGGGATTTACACAGATACTAATAAGATATTCAAAATCTGTGTCTATTTCAGAATCTATGTCAAAATGTGTTTAAATATATAGTCTACTTATGGTATCTTGTGAACTTTAAAGCACATACTTCAGAAAGTAATTCTTTGCTTGAGTTGTCAGACAAATCTGATAGAACTGTCAGATGTTAGCTGATGACTATTGCAGAGTTTGACCATTTCTTTAACTCTTCTAACCTCATAGTAACACTGAACAATGACGGGCTCCACTAAGCAACTGATGGGAGATCTGAAAATGAAGCTCTGTGGCAGGGGAAGGCATGGGGAGGATATTAAAATGATATCAAAGTGCTTCCAGTTTCTAATATCAACTCTCACTAATGTCATTAAGAAAAGGGCAGTTAAGGGGAACTGTTGAAGTCAATGAACAAATTGGAAGACTAAAGGAACTTTCAGATGTAACTACATATTTGATGGATAGAAATACAATGCCCACTCTCCCTATGACTGAAAAAGAACCGCAGGAATGTTTAGCTGACATAGGAGTGGCGGTGCACTGCCCCACCTGACACCACTGATGCACAACAGTGTCCTCATGGTAAAGTCATCAGAAGGAACTCTGTCTTATGTGCAACCTCATCACAAAAATCAATGCCTGACATATGCAAAGCAACATCTGAATAAGCCAGACTAATTTGTAAACAAGTGCTGAGGACAGATGAAGCTAAAAATGAGCTCTCTGGCAACAATCACAAAGAGGTATGCTCGAAAAAAAAAAGGAGCAACATTTGATGAAAAGAACACCTTGCCAGCTGTTAAGCATGGGGGCGGAAATATTATGCTTTGGCGTTGTGTGGCAGCCAGTGGCAGGGGAAACACTGCTTAGATTGAGGGAAGAATGGATTAACATAAATATCAGCAATTTCTGGATGCAAATCTCATGTTGTGAGTCAAGAAACTAAAACTGAAAAGAGGTTGGATTCTAAAACAGGTCTGTAATCCAAAGCTTATGTTAAAAATCCCCCATGAGCTACTTCAAAGAGCACAAGCTGAAGTTTTGGGAATGGCCTTCAAATGCAGTCGCCTGACCTGAACATCAGTGAAGATCTGTGGGTCGATATTAAATATGCCGTGAGTGCAAGACAACCTAGAGATATTTCAGATCAGATCTGCAAGAAAAGGGGGGTGAGAACTCAACAAAGTGGGTGTGCAGGCTGTGAAATCATAAATAGTAGTGCAACAGCATTTTAACAAACTCTCATTTTGTGTATGTTTGCTTCAGGAGTTGTAACTACTTCTTCAAGCTTCGATAAACGAAATACGTTTGCCCAGGGCTGCCTACATCTTAGTAAAACTGTATGTATCACCGTATACCATTGTAGCTGTCCACTGTCACAGCAGCAATCGTGGTGGGTTCAGCAAAGCGAATGACAAACTCTTGGGGAAACATCCCGGTGGACATCCAAAACGTCTTCGTGTTTCTGGGTGAAAGGGACAAACACACGGCAAAAATAAGCCTCGGGTGTTGAGCAGTAAACGATCCCCTGAATTTAAGTTTCCTTACAGACACGCATTGTTAACAAAACCATCATTTCAGCGTCAATACTCACCCGTCAATGATGTTTTCTGGCGGGTGGTTCTCATCACTGGATGCAGCGAGGACAACTTTTGCACCCAAAGAACTTGGAGAGGACTCAATCATCATAAGCAGCTCACACAACAAAGCCTGTGGTCTTCGGCGATGTTTGGTGGAAAAAAATGACCGCAGTTTCGACGGTAATACGCAACAATTCTTCTGTGCAGAGGTCTTGGAGAAATATAGTCGATTTTTAGCTATAACCGTTGCCAAGCCAACCACAGCGTCGCGGGATTTATACGTCACAACGTCCGACGCACGTTGTTTGTCACTTGTTTGGGCATTAGCAGTTAGCACTGAATTCAACAAATCTTCACATGGCGAATGGATGTAAAGACGTGCTTTTTACACGCGGAACTGGACAGGTGAGTTACAGTACACTTCTAAGTATAAGACGACAATACATGTGAACCTTTTTAAGGTCGTTATAGATTCGGTTGAGATAACGAGCTATTAAGCTAAGCTACAAACCAACGTTGACTTCGGCTAAATTGGATAACAAAGAGGAAATAACAGCAAAGCATGGCACGAGAACTAAACAGTATTGGCTTATTTTAAAGCAAAGTCGTGGGCACGCATCACGAGAAGCTGCATAAAGATGGTGCTTCTAGACTTACTGTAGCATCCTTGGCACCGTACAGTGAAAGTAAAGGTATACAGGTCAGGAAGTAAGGAGCTCTGTGTAATTACCCGAGTCCGCAGTCTATTAGCATCTTCTCTGGCTTGTACGTTGAATGAGAACGGGTGTTTGAAAGCATACAGAGGCTGTAAATTTGTTCTCTTTTTCAGAGTGACGATTCGGACATATGGGATGACACAGCACTGATAAAGGCTTATGACAAAGCAGTTGCATCGTTCAAGGTAAAAAAAAATTAAACAAAAAAATGAGTGCTTTGCAGTGTAATGTGTCTGTGAAATGTTGATGCCCGCCTCTGAAGCCTCTGCTCTTACTTTGTGTACCAGACTGCCCTGAAGGGAGAAGATGAGAAGCAAGCCTCCAAGAAAAACCAACCAGGAAAAAAACGCAAGAACAACAAGAAGAACCAGAGCAGGAAAAGAACCAATGCACCATCAGATAAAGAGGTGAGGAATTGCAACTACTAACGTAGATTGATTTACATGAAGGAAGTGTGACTTTATTAGTTTTCAACTTTAGTGGCAGCTTTGATGTCAACTTCATCGATGTAAAGGACACATTTACATAGATCAGTTGAGGTAATGTGTTGCACAACACATTTCAATGATCTAATTTAGTGTTCATTCGTTCTATTGGTAGTTCTGGGTGTAGTTTAATCAAGATGAAGAAAAAAAAAACAATACAACATGGTTACGCTTTGATTTTAAGTCCAGTTTATGTTGTGTCACAGTGGCAGGTGGGGGACTCGTGCTGTGCATACTGGTCAGAGGACAGCCAGCTATATCCAGCCACCATCTCCTCCATCGATGAGAGGAGGGGCACTTGTATAGTTGTTTATTCCGGCTATGGCAACGAGGAGGAGCAGAAACTCGAAGACCTGCTGTCGGAGATCTCTGAGGGTGATGAGGAATCAAATACCAAGGTAAAGCAAATAAATTCAGTAATTTGTTTTGTTCTAGTAATTTTATTTTTGCATTTTTTTGCCTTGTGTATTTAACAGGTTAACGGTGATGTCTCTTGAGTCAGTTTTTCTTTGATGGTTTACTTTAATTATTCCCCTGTGCTGAGTTAAGAAGGTATGATGTCATATTCAAACAGTAGATTTTAATATTATGACAGAAATTTCTTGCTGTGAAAGTTAGGTTTTGCTGTCAGTCAGAATCAGCGATACAGGGCCCTTTTTCAGACTGAACATTTACATTTTTATTACTGATAAACCCCTCTCATACATGGACTTTAGTTTATAGATAGGTCAGTCACTTTACATTTTGATATTTGTGGTACCATCCATACAGACTTTGAGTGACGCTACAGTATTCACAGTGAATAGAACGTACAGTTAATTGCATTTGGCCGACTCAAATCTGATCATTTTTCTGTAACCTTTTTCAATGGAGGAATAGAGAATTATTCCCTGATGCAGTTTGCACAAAGTTATGTCTTGTTTTCGGCAAATGTCCACAAAGTGAGTGTCAAATGAACACCAGATGAGTCAAATGGGATTCAAAAATAGACAATTTATGACATACTTTTTTCCAAAAACTTAATCGTGTCTATTTTTATTTGGCCACTGTAGGAATATAATGGTGGAAAGTTATTGACAGATGAGGTCAGCTGAGACAAAATGAGGTAAACGTCAATTAGAGAACGTAATCTTTATCAGATAATAACTCTTGGAAATCAGTGACTGGGATAAATTGCTGTCTCACAGTTTAATCAAGCTAAGGATTAGGTTGTAATTAGTAAAGCTTGTGCATCCAGTGTGGAGTCTAAATCAATTTGACGATAGATAACTTGTTTTTTCTTCAGCTTTTGTGTGCACCGTTTTCATTTTTCTTTTTTTGTAATTTTTTTTCATTGCTTCCAAAAATAAATTCAATATTTCTAGAATTTCTCAGTGTTTTGTCACTGTCATATACAACATAGGAAATTAAGGCTACAGCTTTATGTCTCCGCAATCTGTAGGTAAATGAGGCAGAATCATCAACAGAGGAGAGTGACCGGTCCACCACACCAAACCAACACAAATATCAGCCACACAGTAAAGGCCAAAGACCCAAGACTCCAAGAGAACCACCTCCTGTGTGGGCTACTGGTTTCCCTCCGTGTCCCCCAGGCCCACCTCCAATGCATACTTTCAGACAGGTAAGAAAAGACTCCTTAGCAACCGCTTTCCTCTTAAAAATAAATCTTGTAATACGCTATTTTCATACATTTTATAAATTAGAATTTCTAAATTCGAGAATAATTCAACTTAGACTTTTTTAAAATCTGTGTGAAGTTTGGCTCTTTGCTAGATTCAGTAAAATAAAACGCAAACAATAAAGCCTTTACAAATTTAACAATAAAAATGGAATATAAAGAACAACCTTTCAGAGTTGGCATTTATCACAGAGGTGTTGGATTGCATTGCAATACATTTAACTGGCAGTTATCTTAATAGGTCTACACTCTGTATTGATGTAACTCTGTAAAGCAGTCGAAAGAGGAACAAAAACAATATTTTAAAAAATAGATATTTTATCTCAGACCTTGCATATGATATATGTGGAATTTATAGTGATTGCAGGAACTGAAAATCCCCAAACTGTGCTTTTATTTCAGGTAAATTTCACTGAGGACTGAAGATTGTTGTTTTTAAGCCTCCTTTTTAATGCAAACCAATCTTGGGTGCTTTTTTAAAAAACTGAGATCACAATGTGTTGATTTTTTGTGTCTCCTGCCAGGGGGGAAGCAGGCGATCCGGTGGTCATGGACCTGTACCTCCTTCCTGGCCTCCCATGATGCCATTTGGACCACCAGTGAGTGGAAATAAATCTTCACACTAATGATTACAAATGCAAAAGCTACAGCAGACACTGTTTTATTTGGGCAATGGGCTCTGCAGTCTGCTTCTAGAAAGGGGACATTTACTCATCCAGCTGGTAAATTGCTAAACAACTAGATGTAGGGTGTTGGTGATCGACAACAAACATCATCAGTCTCCAGCTTCTGCATGCTGATCACACTCGCTGTTGATGTTTCTGCCTTAGATGATTCCTCCACCTCCACCAATGAGCCCTGACATGGTGGATGACGAAGCCTTGGGCAGCGTGCTCCTCTCCTGGTACATGAGTGGATATCACACAGGATACTACCTGGTATGTGCACTGAGGCGAGTTGGCTTGTGCTGGGCTAGAAAAGGGATTTTACAGCTTTTATTTTCAGATTCAGACTCTTACATTCTTTAGTAAAAGGCAGTGGGTGTTTGTGGTAATCTTGATACTTTTTTTTTTTTTCTTTGCCTTTTTGGTAAAGTTGCTCCATTTTTGCTTTTATGCCTCTTAGGAAGAAAAATCTCTTTATCAGCTTCATCGGTATGTGTGGAAATCCTTGATTTTTAAAAGAGGAGTTATATTCACATCATATTCTTTTTTTTTTTTTTTGTAGGGGTTGAAACAAGGACGCAAAGAAGCTGCCAATTGGACAAAACTGCACCACAAATGAAATGATCAATCCGAGATGTACTGTTGAGTTTCCTGTAGTGTCACATTCAGCAGCAGCCTGTTGTGTCTGATATGTGTCCTTCTTGTTTCTAACTGTTCATTTCACGTCATGGAAGGGAGTTTTGTATTCTTTGTAAATAGATGAAATAAAGGCTATCAGATCAGAGTTGCTAATTGGCTTGATATTTTCTTTTTATTTCACCAGACAGTGTTATACAATTATCATTCATTGTACAGTAGATGTGTGTAATTAGACCCACTTCTTTCCGTCAGTGGAAATCTATTTTTCCTATTTATTTTACAAATTGGCAAAAAAAAAAAAAAAGAAGAGGAAAGCATTTACTGGGGATTACTCTTGTTTGTGGATGTGACAGACCCAATGACGTGTGATTGTAATGGCAAATACTGTCCAGCAGAAGTCAGACTAGTGTAATGTATTAACATTATAGGAAAATGTGGCATGAATACATAATAGACTGGTATTTAAACCCAAACAAAATCACAGCCATATTGTGGTGCACTCTCCACTTCTATTCCTGTGTATACTGCACCCTTGTGACTCTTGGCATGCTAAGAATTTGATTGCAAGTGAGACCTGAGTCCCGTCTTGGTCCCTACGGTGCTTTCCACGCAGTTAATTCAGAGAATCTTTCCACTATATGCCTTGCATTCAAGCTCTCCGTTTTCCCCGAGGTGTTCCCTCGTCTACCACCCAATATAGGATCGCATCCATCATAATGTTTTTCAACTCTTATCAGATGGGTGCATATTTCAGGTTGATGGTAGGCATGGTTTCAGCTTCAGACAGTATGACGCATTGAACCAGCTGCGCAGATAAAGATTGATTCTTAAACAAAATCACCGCGACATTACGATCATTGAAAGATCGTTTGTCTTGATGTCTTTTGCACTTGACAAATTCAACCTTCAAACCAAACCTTTACTCTCACTGAGAAGGATTTAGAAGGTCAAAAAGAAAATATGATGATTTTTTTATTATTATTATTTGAGAAAAGGCAGTTAAATTTCATTACTTCGTGTGGCAGCACATGGGGTTTATGACTTTCTTGGCTCTGATATATTGTGCAATGATAACTTGGGGTCTACTTACCACTTATTATTTTTTCTCCATGTCCTGAAAACTGACGCAGGAATGTTTGAGGTTTAATAGTGTAAGAACAGAGGAGGAAGTAGGGCAATGGTTGCAGATGCAGTATGCAAGTTTATATTTAGGAGTATAGAAAACCACATGTAATTACAGTGGGAACAGCCACAATCATTCTGCTGAGCCTGTAGTGCTTTCATTCCATGAAAGGGAAGCAAACAGATTTCCCGTATTCCCTATGCTAGCGATTTGCTGCCTGCGTACTCCCACTCCTCAGGTTTTAAACTGGTGGGCAATTGATCATACGATATATATGTTTGTGTGAGAGAGTGAGTGAGAGAGAGAAACAGAATAGGGTTTTGTGGTTGGATGTAACAGCATGATTGTCTCCTGTTTTTTATGCCATGTGATCTTCCTTCAGTTGCTCCACAGCCGTTGCTTTCTGAGTGAAGAGCGGCCCCTTTGTTTGTGCACTGACTGTGGTCGGCATTTTATAGCCCACTGTGACTGCCAGTGTTTACTGCTGTATTTGATTTCACTGTAGCAGTCACTTTTGTTTTTGCTGTTTTGTGTATATGTGTGTGGGCAAAGGAGGGAAAACAGGAGAAGAAAGCGGGACGGTAACAGGAGAAAATGTAGTTTGTGGGATTTACAAATAGAATATGCACTATAAACGAGGGGTGATAAACCAGCCCCTATCTTTTCCCCACAGACGGGTTTAAAATCTGCCACGGCAAAGCCTGCACATAAGCCCATTGCTTGCCTGACTCTGCAGCAAACTGAGCTGCCCAAAGGGCTCAGTGGAGCCCAGCGAGGAGTTAAAAGGGGGTCAGACCTAGCTTGGGAAAGCACTGCTCCCCTCTGTGACTGTCTACCCCCTACTGACCAGAGCGGCATGAGGCGTGTAAACATAATCTGCATTTCACATAGTCCCTTCTAGGAAACAGACAGACATCCAAGTGAGATCACATTGCTGCATGAGTTACAGCGCCTTCAGCTATTTACTCAAGCCCCGACATCAACAAACATCCTGCTTTTAAATAAGAGACTTGGGGGGATATTAGAGAAACAGGGGCTGTGCAAAACGCTGGGCTTTTTTCTACAGAGCACCAAACACTCACTGCAGACACTGTTACATGTCGAAAATTGTGGTGCAAAAACCATTAGCCCCAACCCAGAAGATCAAGTGTTTACTGGCAGAGGAAAATATACATTTGGACTGTCAAGCAAATTGCAGATTTAAACTGTTTGTGAGATCTGTTTCACAGACGGCACAGTGCACCAACCTGTTGACTAACCTGACTGAAACACAGCATTTGGAATTCAGCACCAGTTGTACCTTTATTATTTTCAGAGAAGGGGAAAAAAAAATATGTGCAAACAGTATCTAAATTCAGATTCTATGATTGGCAGACAAATTACTGTTTCCAGACTGTTTCTGATTCAGACAAAACAAACAAAGAAAATGCCATCAAAACATGATACCATGATGCCAGACTGAATTTTCAGAGTTAATTGCCCATTCGATATTAAAGCAGTTATCTTGTAAATAGTAGGAAAAATCACAGTGAACAATGGCTCGCACTTACACACACACACACTGATAAAGACTTTATTTCAATGCAGGGATTTTCAGGTTTAACAAGCTGAAAAGCCTTAGGCGTTTTAACTTATCTATGGCTCTCGGATATCTCAGATTTTTCTTTTCTCTTGTGGATGGTATCAGGTGACTCAGTCAGCCAGAGTTTGAGTTACACCGTTGCTGAGAATGTATAAAACAGATAAGTGAATAAACAGCAGCTCTGTTGCCACTATAAAAAAAAAGTAATATCAAATCTGAACTGCCCAAGGTATTACAAAAAAGGAGGGACAGAGGAATGAGTTTCAGACAAGATGTACAAAATATGAGGTAGATTCACCAAACAAACAGTTCAAAGCTCTGACGGTCTTGAGGTGAATGTGAGCTACAATAAGCAGGGTTGTGATATCACCCTCGGCCACAGAAGCTGACCTCTCTCTTTCTGTTTCTGGACGTGACCCCTCTGTCAGTCCTCGATCACCTTCTGACCTCTCAGAATTCCACTCACAGCAGGTTCAGAAAAGTCCTTGGTATCGCCGCAGATTATGATTCACATTCCTGCTGGATCTTCATGGTCTGTTTGCAGGTACTCATAAATATGTTGTACAATAAAAGTAAAGCCCATATCCCCCATCTTTACTGCCCCCTAAACAGGCTGCATTATTGGTATTAAGGAAATAAGAATTCTCAGAGACCAAAGAGGAGTAAATAATGACTGTTTAATACATAATGTACTTATCCTCTTTATGTGAGAGGCTATAGGAGCCATGTGCTGTTTATCTCATCAAAGCTGGACTCGCTGGTGAACCCATCACTAAAGCAAACATCACTGGCCTAAAGGCACGGTGTTATAGTCAGAACATCAAGCTGCCCAACAATAAATGTAACTATTTTTGTTGAGTGCAGTGAAACAGTGTCACAAATGGCATCTGTTGTAATGTGTTAATCTTCTATCTGTAAATTAGGATCTTTTTTTGTACAAAGTTCTATGAGAGCACAGATTTAAGTTTGCAGGTTTAATTATTACAGAGAACATTGTGCTATAGCATGGGGTGAAGTTCGCACTGAATTCATTTAAGAGAAACTTTAATACCAAGAAGGCTGTCAAGAATGGACTGCCTGTAGTGACAAAATGCATCAGCCCTTCCAACTAGAATTAGTTTTGTTCTAAAAAAGTTCTGAGAAAGTTTTGCAAAGTTCCATTAATGTTTTCAGAGTGACGTTTTATTTTAGTTCATAGAATGTTCTTCAGGGAAATTTTCCATAACCTCTTAAGACCTGAGCTCTTGTTTGATATGCATTTTATTTTATTTTTTAAATTTCTATTTGCTATGTGATCTGAACACATAGCAAAGAGAATACAAAATATAAAGAAAATAAAAATATATATTTTAAAATATTTAAAATGTGTAAGAAAAATAAAATAAATAAAAAATAATCATAAATAAGCTTTAAAAAAATTAACTGCTGTGGTAAAATAACCCAAAATGTGATGTCCACGCATGTGGATGCCAGGTCTTAAGAGGTTAACTGTTTTCGGACAGTTGCACTGAGAACATCCTTACTTTGTTGTGTAACATTGTGGGAACGTTTGCAATATTGCAACTATTGCAATATTCTGCTTTAATATGTCACATTATATGAGCTTTTTTTAAAAAAAAAACAAAACAAAAAAAAACAACCTTGTCCTTTAAGGCCCAGAGAGCATCTTCAAAACATCTTTTGAATGTTGGTTCTTCTTCTTCTTCTTTTTCAATTTATCATCTAACACTATCTGGCAACAACTTCCAAACATCCTCTGAATGTTAAACACTTGTGTTCACTTTTACCTTCATAGGAACATTACTTGAAACGAGAAATATCATGTAAACGTTCTTTGAACATCAGAACAAAAACGTTGTCTTTGTAACATGATTAGAACTTGTAGGTAATGTTAACCAGTGTGGTGAGAACATTCCTGGCTTACAGGGCTATTTGGACTGAAGCCTTGTTTCACTGTTTTTTTGGGGCTTTCTATTTTTATTTTTATTTTTGTTTATGATGGTTAGAGATTGTAAATATTTTTGCATATTCTGAATTCATCTGCAAATTATCGCGAAACCACTGGTGTCGTGGCCAAATACGCACATGTGGGTTTTACGCGTAATTCATCCCTGCTGAATGACTTGCATAAAAAAAAGGCCTTCAAAAGGCATTTGAGATATTGCAATAGTAAATCTCTGCCATTCATCACCGGTAGAGGTCTCCGGATACAGGACAGGCCAAAGTTATAGGTCTCAGCTGCAGCACATGGGGTGTCACCGTGTCACTGCTGGGCGCATGCGGGCCAGTGTTTGGGAAAATGAAAAGTCAGCTGTGAAGTGAAGGAAGAGCCTGTAAATCTTGTGTTTTTTTCTCCTCTCTCTCTCTCTCCCTCCCGCGAGTGGACTTGCTCCGGTCTCTGCTCCCACTTCAGAAGGGAAGTCCTCTGTTTCATGCCGGGTTTGCCTA